TTTTTTTTTTCCTGTTTCATCTCCAAACATGACTCACTATGTGGAACATATGAATATGTGTATGTGTCCGAGTGTATTGTATATGTATATGTATTACCCGCGTGTTTTTCATTAATTATATACTTTGGCTTTGTCTGTTCTCTTAAATTTGTTTTTTCCTTTCATTTTTTTAACGCTAATGGCAGCACAGATACAATATTATTCATCTTTTTTTTTCATCTTCTTTGTTTTACACTGTATAGCATTTTAACGTGCCCGAGTCTTTTCTTCTTAAATAGAAATAACATGTTATGAATCACTTTGTAAAGCGCATTTAAGCGGTTCCTTCTCTTGCACAATGGAACCGTTAAAATCGCCGCCATTCGGGATGGTAATTACGCAATTAATACATTACGCTATGTATACATTTATACAGTACGCAATGAATACGCCAGAATTAATTATTGTATGCACTACGAAGGAAAGAACCTATATTTATGTATATTATGTATACGTGTGTACTTCGAGAAGAAACGAATTGCTATGCAGCGCATTATTATAGTACGTTTAATATAACTAGCGTGGCTCCTTCCTCTTTCTCTTTTCTTGTCTCTTTCCTTTTATTTATTTTTTATTCTCCTTTTTGAGTTTATTCCACTATTCGGCGAACTGATCGTGTTTCGTCGTCTTTTTACTATCTCGCGAAAAAATATAATCATCGCAAAACGATGATCATCACATGATATTTTAAACGCAAAAAAGGAACAATTTTCGAACACGATGCAGCGATCAGAAACGCATCGTACAGCCTCCTTCTTGACGCCACGCATTTTTAATACGTTTCGTTCTCTAAACGCGTCGACGAATCAGATTTGCGTATTGATCTCGAGAATTTTCGATCGAAAAAAGATTTATATTCCCTATACAAAGAGTATTATTTTATATCAGTGCGTGCAGCTAGAGCGATCGTCGAATTCGTAAACAATAAATGCAACAGCCTTTGTCTCGTTAAAATATTAATAATAATTTATCAACTATCAATAATTGGCTACAACAACCGGTATTCTTAAATAGTATACGCAGCGAGAAATTACTAAGAAAAAGTAATTAATAGTTGAAATAAGAGAAATAGAGAGAGAGAAAGCTCATACGTCTAAAATAATGAAAATATTTTAAGGGACAGTTCGTATTGGTACATGCCGGATATACGTAAGTAAGTATTATCATATGTAACTAGAATGATCATGTGTATATATGAATGCGTAAATATATGTATGAACGTGTAAATGTGTATATATGTGTATGTGTTCGTCGAATTATTAAAAATCGGTGGAGCCTTCGAAGGAATAATATAAATTGAATCATTTTAAAAGCGCTTCTATTAGCTAATGATTTACACTAGAATAATTCTAACCTCTGAACGAAGAAATGCATGTGGGTATACCACGGTTTCTCGAGATCAAACGCAATCCTTCGTCGATTCGACGAAAGAAAGATAGATTGCTAGCCACGAATAAATTGTCAACTAATTAAATATATTATCGATCAAATGCAACTAATGGCGTATAATTATCTGTTGACTGCCCCCCCACCCCCTTAAACGGTACTTACAAATACCTAAGTGAGAATTTTTCGTACGCTATGCAACGGTAAAATCAGGCGCGCAGTACATTAAACATTGTTTAATTTCTCTTTTTTTTTTTTGTATGTAAATATGATGTAGATATCTGTTGAGTTTTTCGATTTTTTCGATTTTTTCGATTTTTTTTTTCTCTTAAATTTGTTTCTCGTTTTATTTTGTATATACGATCTCGTTTCAAAACCCGCATTTTATAGAAAAAAATTCGCGAGTACGAGATCG